AGGGAGGGTGTGGAGTCCCCTTCTCTGGAGATCTTCAAGCCCCGCCTGGATGCTCCTGAGTAACATGCTCTGACAAGCTCTGGATGGTCCTGCTTTAGCAGGGGAGTTGGACTAGATGATCTCTATGGTCCCTTCCAACTCTAAAAATTCAGTGAAATCCAGTGAAATTCTTCTCTGCAGCTGATTTCACAGTCACGATGCGGTGTTCGGTGCCAAGCCCCTTGAGGTGGGAGGACAAAGTAGGGTGGGAGGACAAAGTATGGTGGGAGTATATGGAAGCCAGCCTCTTGCTGTTGTCCTCCAGGTCTTGTTTTGGGGTCAAATGAGAAGCAGGGTTTGGGCAGGTAACGGTGTGAGCATGGAAGGGGGCATCGTTTTTTGCTTGCTTTCTTTGTTGTTTGTTTTTTTCCGAAGAAGTGGGGAGTTGCTGTGTTAAAGAGAGTTCACGGAGTTGGAAACAAAACAAGGTGGCTCTTATTTTAGAAAATCTCTGTAGTTTTGTAAGGAGGAACCTCAGTGGTTGCTGGAAACCTATTATTCTTACTCTGAACGGGTTGATTTTGGAATTCAGACCAGAAGGTATTCTGGTGGAGAAGGACTCTTTGCCAGGAAGGGTAATGATAGGACAAGGGGAAATGGTTTTAAATTGGGAGAAAAAAGATTCAGATTAGATCTCAGGAAGAAATTTTTTACTCTGAGGGTGGTGAGACCCTGGAAGAGGTTGCCCAGGGAAGCTGTGGCTGCCCCATCCCTGGAGGGGTTCAAGGCCAGGCTGGATGGGGCTTGGAGCAACCTGGTCTGGTGGGAGGTGTCCCTGCCCAGGGCAGGGGGTTGGAACTCAATGATCTTTAAGGTCCCTTCCAACCCAAACCATTCTATGATTCTGCCTGCCTGTTTTCTTGGGGAATACTTGACAGCACATTCAGCACTGGGCCACACTAGGGTCATGAAGCTCTCCTCCTGCTTATAGAATTAATCTACGGCTTTGTTAAATCAAAAGTAAATTCAGCTACTTCAAATATTGAACAGTAGCACTCGTAATGCTAGAGGTGGGCACGTTATCCTTTTTCATTTTTTAATTGATCTAACCTTTTGGACTTGCTGGGAAACGCAGCTTGGTTTGTTTTGTTCTTTTTGATTTGTTTTTCTGGGGGATACCATGTGGGTTTTACTGCAACACGTGAGTGAAGCAAACTGAGGTGATGGTGCAGGCTTGTGCGGGTCTCTTCTGGTTTCAAAACACTTAAATGCTTTGAGAAGGTGAGAGTTGCAGTTACGTTACCCCATGGTGAGATGGAATTTTCTTCAGTGACATGTGACCTTTAATCTGAAGCTTTTGAAGATAAAGTTTGGAGGATGTGAAACAATTCTTTTTTATATACTGCCAAATGAACATATTGTAGGTATAATAAAAATTGCACAGGAGAAAGGGAGTATTTCATGTCTTCTTTCTTCTCTTTCTTTCTTTTTTTCTTCTTTCTTTCTCTTACAGTTTGATTTAGACTCTATTTGGACGTTCATATTTGGAGTCCCTGCCTCGTGCGGCACCGTTACCTCTTCAATACACAGCGTTTGCACGGAAGCTGCCTTCTTGTTACTGGGAATGCTGAGGAGCATGCTGAATTCTGTAAGCATCCAAAATTTTGCTCATGTTGGAATATACAGAATTGTTTGAGTTTGCCACGTGGTCAAAAGCCAAATTTAGAAAAGTTGAGGAATTGTTAGAGTCATGACAAACCCAGCCGTGAGGTAGGCTCATAATACTTGGGTGAAAACCATCATTGTCAATAGGTTATTCTACCTTTACTTTCTTTTTCATTATCTGTAGAAAAATTAGTGGCCACAAAATTGATGCTGCTTTTTCACGAAACGCCCGGGCTTTGTGTTTTGCTGCAATTAAAACAAGAAAGCAGAAGGATAAAATGGCCTTGGCAGAGATCATTGAATTTCTTTCCTGATGAACGTCATGGGGGAACGTTTGAGACTCTGTGTCCCATCTGCTCAGAGCTATGAGAGTTGCAGATTTCGTGCATGAACCTTCCACATGCAGAGAAGTCCCCTGACTATTAATAGCCTCGTGCTGGAAGAAATGAATTTACTGCCAGAAATACGTGTTGTCTCCTTGTCTTTGAGTCTAATGTCAAGAGTAGTGAAAGTTGGTTTCTCAGTAGGAAAACGTTGTATTTCCTTGGAGGCAGACAGTGTTACCTGCTGAAAATTATGCCATGAAATGTTTGAAAAGCAGCACCTGTTCGATTCTTGTCTGTTTGGTAGTCATGTGTTTGCAGTATGCTCTGAGAAGCATTGCTTGCATGTCTCTCCCATGTTAACATGGTCAGAGGTATCTTCTGGACTTGTATGCTGGTTCTGTGTGCATGGCCTGCTGCCCTATCATCATGTGTTCTGTCTCTTGCTGGTGACCTGCTGTGTCACGTGTTTGATCTTCACCTGTTTGGACATGTTTGTGACATGGGCTGGCTCTTGCCTTGCTGTCTTGTGCTGTGTCATCAGGGGCACAAAATCTAGTTGGAGGTCCGTAACAAGTGGTGTTCCCCAGGGATCAGTACTGGGTCCAGTCCTCTTCAGTATATTCATCAATGACCTAGATGAAGGGATGGAATGTACCCTCAGCATGTTTGCTGATGATACAAAACTGGGAGGGGTGGCTGACACACCAGAAAGCTGTGCCACCCCACAGTGAGACCTGGACAGGCTGGAGAGCTGGGCAGAGAGGAACCCCATGAACTTCAACAAGGGCAAGTGCAGGGTGCTGCACCTGGGGAGGAGTAACCCCCTGCACCAGGACAGGTTGGGGGTGACCTGCTGGAGAGCAGCTCTGAGGAGAAAGACCTGGGGGTCCTGGTGGACACTAGGATGACCATGAGCCAGCAACGTGCCCTTGTGGCCAAGAAGGCCAATGGCATCCTGGGGGGCATCAGGAAGAGTGGGACCAGCAGGTGGAGGGAGGTCATCCTGCCCCTCTGCTCTGCCCTGGGGAGGCCCCATCTGGAGCACTGGGACCAGTTCTGGGCTCCCCAGTTCCAGAAGGACAGGGAACTGCTGGAGAGGGGACAGCAGAGGGCTACAAAGATGATGAGGGGCCTGGAGCATCTCCCTTGTGAGGAGAGGCTGAGGGACTTAGGTCTTTTCAGTCTGGAAAAGAGAAGGCTGAGGGGGGATCTGATCAAGGCTTATAAATACTTCAAGGGAGGGTGTTGGTGTCAAGAGGATGGGTCCTGTCTTTTTTCAGTGGTGCCCAGGGACAGGACAAAAGGAAATGGGCACAAACTTGAACATAGGAAGTTCCACCTAAACATGAGGAGGAACTTCTTTGGGGTGAGGGTGGCAGAGCCCTGGCAGAGGCTGCCCAGGGAGGGTGTGGAGTCTCCTTCTCTGGAGACATTCCAAACCCATCTGGACACGTTCCTGTGGGACCTGCTCTGGGTGGCCCTGCTTTGGCAGGGGGTTGGACTGGATGATCTCCAGAGGTCCCTTCGAACCCCATGTCATTCTGTGATTCTGTGTTACTGTCATGTACAGCTGCCATGTGTTATTGCTGTGGGTTTATCACATGACCAGTCATGTGTCTGGTTACATTTCATCATGTGGTTACAACTGACTTCAGCCTGTTTAATCATGACATGTCTTATTGTAATGTTCTTCATGTTCTGCTACATGTTTCTTAGGCGCTTGTGATACGGTGACATGCTGCCATGTGTTCAATCACATGTTTGTGATGGCTTGGACATGTGTTCTCTTATCACATGTTCTCTTGTCACCTGTTGCAGGCACGTGGTTTGGACACGTGGTTTATGTGTTGGTTAGAAGTTGTTCAATTGTCACACATTCTGGAGGCAAAACCATGTGTTTAGTCACAGTTTGGTCAGGTGGTCATCATATGGTGACGTGCTCGGACACATGTTCTGTCACATTGGCTTAGGTTGGTCACATGTTGGCAATGTGCTCGAACACACTTGCTGTCACTTGTTTGGTCAGATATTAGATCTCATGTTCAGACACTGTGTCTTCGGTCATGTGATTTAGACACATGTTTGGTCGTGTGTTCTGACCAGTGCTCCAACACACATTTGACGTGTTCTGAGACATTGAGGTGCTGGAGCGGGTCCAGAGAAGGGCGACAAAGCTGGTGAGGGGTCTGGAGAATAAGTCTTATGAGGAGAGGCTGAGGGAACTGGGGTTATTCAGCCTGGAGAAGAGGAGGCTGAGGGGAGACCTTATTGCTCTCTCCAACTCCCTGAAAGGAGGGTGTAGAGAGGTGGGGGTCGGTCTCTTCTCTCAAGTCCCAGGCGACAGGACGAGAGGAAATGGCCTCAAGTTGCGCCAGGGGAGGTTCAGGCTGGATATTAGGAAAAATTTTTTCACTG